GTAAGTAAGTAAGTAAGTAAGTAAGTAAGTAAGTAAGTAAGTAAGTAAGTAAGTAAGTAAGAAGTAAGTAAGAAGTAGAAGTAGAGTAGAGAGAGAGAGAGAGAGAGAGAGAGAGAGAGAGAGAGAGAGAGAGAGGGGGAGGGAGACTAAATGGACTTTTGAAAGAGAAAGAAAAATGGTTTTGGGTATATTACCTTGAGAAGTGTACCACAATTCCAATGGTTGTGAAGATGAATGGACAATAGCCAAATAATAGGAGATTGGATCTATCACTCAGCTAGAGAGAGAGCAAGGATCAGGTTGCCTATAGCTCTGAAGCCATGAGAGCTAGAGGCAATTGACAGAATTAGGATAAAAGGAAGTGTCTCTTTTTATTCAAATGGCACTCTTTTAGATGGTGATTGATAGTAATATCTTTGAATTTCAGTCAATCTGTTCCCTCCATATCTCATCCCTTTTTCATTAGGATCTTTTAATCATCCTCGTCACGTATCTTAGCCCTTTTTTGTTTGAGTTTCTGAATCATCCTCTTCACATATCATATTCCTTTTTGGTTAGGGCTCTGAATCATCCTTATCATTCTCTCTTCTCCATCCCTAAAAGAAAGCCTCAGATCCCAAATTGCTGAAACTTGTGTGCATCTTAATCACAATGTGTCTCCCTATATCCCCTTCATCATTCATTCTTGTTATTTCCAACTACCAATAGTCTCCACAAGAGCAAATTCCATCCCTAAAGTGGTGGAACCTATTTGCATCTCTCATCACAATTTCTCTCTCTACTGCCACCGCAATCAACTTAAAAGCAGCATGGCAATCTCCACAAACCCTTAGGTTCTTCATAATACGAATCACCGATCCAGGCCCTGTCTGCATAACCCCAAAAGCCACTGCCAACTTCTCACTATGATACTTGATTTCTCTTTCTTTCTCCTCCTCATCCAAATTTTGCATCACAAATGTAGTATCAGGAACATAACCCATCGCTCTAATCCGCTCAATAAGTTCCTTGAGCTTCTCATATACCTCTCTAGCTTGTGGGTGAGATCGGTCGTCCGCACAAAACACATGAACACTTCCTTGTGCTTCTATCCAGCTTTGGCCTGGCACCTTTCGAAGGCCTTTCTTTCTCATCCTTCTCTTGATTTCAGCATGGTCTTCCCATCTTCCAAAACTTGAATATATATTTGAGAGCAAAATGTATGTTGCGTGCTCCTTAGGCTCCAATTCGAGCATGAATTTTGCAGCAACATTTGCCAGATCCATGTTTTTATGGACTCGACAAGCTCCTAGCAGTGTTTTCCATATTGTGGCATCCGGCTCAAATGGCATGGAATCAATTAGGGCTTTGGCCTCACTGAGAAGGCCTGAACGACCAAACATATCAACCCCACATGCGTAGTGCTCCATTCTGGGCTCAATGCCATGAAGAGTGGTCATTGTCTCCAAGTACCGAGAGCCTTCTCTCACTAGACCTGCAGAAGGATCAAACTTTCAAAAGACCTGCAGCATAAGATTTCCTCTTTCACTATACTTTATCTCCCTAGAACTAACTGATAAAAATTTTTAGTTCTTTACTTTTTAGGTTCTATGAAATTACAGGTTCTGGTTTTGAGATGGACTAACTGACAAAAAATTTTAGTTCTTTACTTTTTAGGTTCTATGAAATTACAGGTTCTGGTTTTGAGATGGGCCCGTCCAACCGCAGACATGCAAAATGTTCAAGATTTTACTAGAGCAACATAGGGCCCACCTCTCACTGGAACTTCTTACAGTAAACATCCTTAAAAATGTAGGTTTGAGTTTTGATTTGAACACAGGAGGGGCAGTGCAACTGAAAGTTGGATATTAGACTAGAGTTCAGTCTTTGAAAAAAAAAGAATCCATATGAGTAACAGACAAAAACAGAAGATTTTCCAAATCTCTAACAAATCTTTGTTGAATTTCAAGTTTGAAATTACAACAACAGACAGATTCCAAATTTCAGTTTAAACAAAAAGAAACTGCTACAAATTAATAAACAACAGAATACAAGAATTTCAAAGTTCAAAGACGTCTAGGCTGAATTAGAAATGCAAATTGGAAAGCCACCCAATCTTTCTGCCAAACATAATAAAAAGAAAAAAGAAGACTTCAGCCAAAATTATGCAGAATATAATCCAAATTTCTCACAATTTCACCCAAATCTCATGAAAATTTTCTCAAAAAGAAAAACTTACCTGCATGACTACAAGCCGAGAGAACCCCTACAAAAGTCACATGGTCAGGTTGAATCCCTTCCTCTTTCATCTCCTCAAAGAGTTGGATGGCATAATCAGCTTGCCCATGTTGTGCACAACCAAATACGATCGCATTCCAAATTACAGTACTGCATCTTGACCCCTCCTCAAATGCGTATTCTGCCCCTTCGAGTGACCCACATTTCCCATACATGAAGATCAATGAACTCCCCACAAATGGGTCCTGCGTAAAACCAAGCTTTGTGATCAAACCATGGACTTGCTCACCTAACTGTAGACTAGCGAGATCAGCGCATGATCTCAGAACACTAGAGAAAGTATAGTGGTCGACACCAGTCACGCTCATGAGAGAAGACGACCCACCAGAGAGAGAGCAATGGCCGCTCGATTTGCGCATGAGTGAGAAAATCCTCAAGGCTTCCTCCCCCATGTTGCCTTGAGCATAGCCAGCTATCATAGAATTCCATGAAACAATGTCTTTGAACTCCATGTTCTCGAATTGTTTATGAGCAAGGGCCACAAGGCTATGCTTAAGGTACATGGCGATGAGAGAGTTTGAGACTTCGAGTGCTTCTCCGACGCCGGCTTTTATGGCCATGCCATGGATGGTTGCCCCATGCTCTTCTCCACATGCACTTATGATGCTAGAATATGCAAATTTATCAGGTTTCTTGCCATAATTAAGCATCATAAGGAAGAGCCCAATGGCCTTATGGCCATGGCCATGTGATCCATAAGCCGAAAGCATCGAATTAAAGCTCACGGAGTCCTTAACTTCCATGGTAAAGAATGCTTTCTCGGAACTTCCGATCAACCCACATTTTGCATAAGCCGATATCAATGCATTACCAACTACAACATCAGAGTGCAGGCCATGCTTGAAAATTTTACCATGGATTTGTCGTGAGATTTCGACTTGGTCCAATGAATCTAATACTGAAAGGACACTAGCAACAGTGGACTGGTCAGGGGCAAATTTTTCTCTCTCTAAAAAGTTAAGTGCTAGAATCCCTGACCCGAGCTCTCGACCACTCGCATAGCCTGCTATCAATGCATTCCATGTGACCATGTTTCTCTCTCTCATGCCATCAAAAACTATCTCGGCATCACCCATGCATCGACAGTTTGCATACATATCAAGAATTGCAGTGCCCGTAAACACATTATGCTCGAAACCCAATTTGATCACCAAAGTATGGATTTGGAGGCCAAGCGTGAGAGCCTGCAAGGCTCCTATGGTTCTCAAAAGGCTACCAAAAGTATAATTGTCAGGCCTTGGTCCATGCCCATGCATGGCCATGAACATGGCGCATGCCTTTTCGTGGTAGCCATGCTCAGTGTAAGCAGAGATCATGGAGTTCCAAGCCACTGCATCTCTTTGAGGCATTTCATCAAACACTTGTTTAGCAGAGGATAGATCATTACATTTTGCATAGAGTGTGAGGATATGGTTGCTGGTGTGGGGGTCACAGTGGTGTAGGGTTTTGATGATGTGGGCGTGAAGGCTTGTGCCCGAGGAGAGTGAAGAGGTTTTGATGCAATCACGGAGGAGGGAGCGGTAGAGAGAGAAAGAGTATGAGACTTTGGTTAGGGTGGGTTTTAGAGAGAGGTCCAACACTTCTCGAGCTTGCGCAAACGTGAGTGTTGGGGGTTTAAACATGGCCTATGGAATGGTTGTAGGGCCTCGTGCAATATATTCATGGTATTTAGGATGGCAAAACCTTCATTCATGTGCACGATTTAGTCTCCATTCCATCTCTAAACTATCAGAGAAGTTGCAGCTTCATATTTTGGGGTGGACCCGATCTGGTCATGGACCTGGACCTGGACCTGGACCTGAATAGTATTCGCTTTTGAAATTTGAACCGTATCCAAATCCGAAGTGGGGTCTACCTATGGGTCCCGAGTCTAATTGGGATCAATTACCACCCCTTTTCCATATTTTGATGTACCGTGGGGAATCTTGCTTTAAAATACGACTTTTTATAAATTTATTTATGCTTTTAATTAAAAAATTTAAAGTTTTAAAAATAATGTAGATCGAACACATTTATAAATACTTAACTTTGAAAGGTTATAGATAACAAGATTTACTATTTTTAGTATTTTGAACTATTTTTTCCTTTATATTTATATAAATAGACGTCCCGATGATCAATAAGGGGGTTTTCTAGTGCTAGAACAAGAAGTAGGTTTTTAAGGTATAAATCACTTGTATAGCATAGTTCGACACCTTGTATAAACTTTTCTTGTTTAAGTAATCAAAGCCAAATAATAGAGGCATTGGATGTACTCATTAATTCATTGTTAGTGATAATACCATTATAAAGTCATCTAGAATAAATTTAAAGGCAAATTTTGTATATAAGTTTAAACCTTTCGAAAAGTTGTTCTTACTTTATTCAAAGCAATTTCCCCTCAGCAAATCATGTTTTTAGATAAGATATAGATGAAAATGGACAAAAAGTTTAAATAATTAAATAATATTATAGATAATATCATAATACAAAATACATACTACTCAGCCAACAAGATAGTATTATCCATAGTACGTTATGGTATTTATAGTATTATCCATAGTACGTTATGGTATTTTATAATTGAGTTTCATTTTTTTGAGAATATAAACTATATTTCAATTTCATCTATTTTTATATACATTGGATTGAGCTCAAATGCGGTACGTCTAGATTACCGTTATTCAAGGTTAAAAATTATGAACAACCAAAGGCTTGGTAATTTGGCCCATTTAAGTTGATCGAGCCAAATTACAAAATGATTTTTCAACGTTGCAAACATTAAACAATTAAATGATGAAAATACCCCCAATTCTGTATTGCTAACGAAGAACGAGCAGTGCTTTTGTCATTTGATAGTTTCATATTCTTAAACCTAAATAACTAAGGGTGCGGTTTCTATAAGGTTGCAACCTTAAACAATCCAATTAAGATGCACCTTCAAATTTTGTAATTTTGATGTAAAACATTCTTAGGATTATCTAAAAATTGTTTTTATATCTAATTATAAAATTTTAAACTCACAAAATGGTCAAAATCAAGTAGATCTATAAATATATGAAAATCTTAAAAATGGATGGTCTAGATAATGCGTTGCAAGATGCACTATTTCTGGGACTCAAAATCTTCTTCTTTTTTTTAATTTTCATACATCTCCATGTCGAGATGATCAATTAGAGGGTTTTTCAACATTAAAACAACATTTTCCGATAGATTTTCTAGGTGCATCTGTAATTTTATATTTTAAGGTTGTAACCTTATATAAATTTTTTCCAATAACTAATGGTATTTTCATTCACCCAAAACACCAAAGGTCACCCAAAACACCAAAGGTATTTTGGTTGTTCATATTTTCAGGATAAAGCCACTTAAGTGGCTCAAGTTATCTTCCCTTGGTTGTTAAGGAATCCCACCCTAAACATGGGTAAATTAGAAATTTTAAAAACAAATTTTTGAGGAGATACCTTATGAAATGAAATTTATAAAATACGATAAATATACAATAAGACCATTTACCTTTCATACAAGGAGGTCGCAGTTACTGTTGAACATTAGATGTGAAAGTGGGGTGTTGAGGGTGTTTAATTAGACTAGGCACAAATTCCAAAATGAAATTTGTTGAACCTTGTGGCATACCCCACCAAGCCATTCGATTTCATATTCAATGGCTACAGATAATTGTGACCTCTTTGTACAAACAATTAATAATCTTATATTATACTATCCTAAAAAATAAACTCTGATATGGGAAAATATGATTTCTTTTTTTTAACATGTCCATTGGACATACGATATTTTGAGTTAAATGATTTTGTAAGATAATTAAACTTTTTAATGATATTTTTCTTTAAAAATATGTGATTGGCTTTTCAATATCCTGCGAGTGGTTGGTAGCAATCACTCATGACTGTAGCAAAAAAAATTAAGGGAAAGGTTTCTATACTTCCCCTACAACACAGAAGATCTATGCTTTCCCTACCATCCAGCCGTCCAATTTTGATAAAAAATAAAATACGTCTCAAAGCATTTTATTTTTAGTTTTTTAATATAAATTGTATGAATTTTAAATTTGGTATGTGCCATATTCTCATTGGGGCTCACCTATAAAAAAAATATTAAAAATAATTTTTACATAAAATATAATGACTAAAATATCCATTGAATTTTTCAGAGGTATTTTGGTCATTTTATTTTATTTAAAATATTTTTTTTATATTTTTCTCTAGTGCAAGATTAATAGAAGATTGGACATCCAAAATTTGGTATTAAAAAATTTTATATAAAATAAATTAAAAATAATATAGTGTAGAGACGTGATATAGTGATTGGGGCAATCTTAGCCCTCCATTCAGAATGGACGGTTGGATAAGGGGAAATATATAAGTTTTATGTTATAGGATAAGCATAAAAAGCTTGCCCAAAAAATAAAAAACAAACACATTAGTAGTTATTCGCTAGCCGCCGTGAAAATTGAGACCCTACATTTTTCTCCCGATTTCCCTCTTTAAAAGATCTACTAGAATCTCCTCGAGTTTTTTCTCATATTTACTTTAGTACCCATTCCTTTCTCTCCCTATAAACAAGAGATCAGCAAATTCCCCTTCTCCTTGTGAAATTTAAAACTAAAAAAATAGTGCAAATCGAGTAAACCCACAAACACTTGAAAATCTTGAAAATATATGGTTTAGATAAGGGATTGCATACAATGAGACTATTTACATGGTGGTCACAATTACTCGTAACAATATGATGTGAAATTTGCCCTTAGATACCCATTCCTTTTTCTCTCTATAAACAAGAGATCCGCAAATTCCCCTTTTCCTTGTGAAATTTAAAACTAAAAAATAGTGCAAATCGAACAAACCCACAAACACTTGAAAATCTTGAAAATAAATATTTTAGATAAGGGATTGTATACAATGAGATTATTTACAAGGTGATCACAATTTTTCAAGATTTTCAAGTACAAATCACTTGAAAATACAATGAAAAAGAGAGAGATTTGCAGTGGAGAGGAAGAGAAGCTTAATTGAGGAACTTCTGGCTAGGACGAGCGGATGAGACCCAGTTGTGTTTCTCTTTAATTTGGCAAATATTCTTTTATTGACATCACCTTGTATATTATTTGTTTTTTTGTTTTATATTTAACTTTAATACAAATGCTCTATATTTATCCATTTCGATGTTCGGTGTTTTATCATAAATGATGTTTCTATTGGAATATGGTATTACCAATCAAAAAACTACTCTACATATATTTTTATTTTAATCCTGATTTTTTTTTTGAGAACTTTAATGAGTATTCTCTTAAGTTCCATCCTTCTCTCCAGTATCATAATTACTGTTTGATCCCAGTATCTCATATTTTCTATCAATCCCAATATATCATAATTTCGGTTGATCCTAATATCTCATAATTTCTATCCATCTTAATATGATCCCCTTCTGAATATATCATAATTTCTATCCATTCCAATATCCTTTCTCATTAATATTTAATTGGTGGATTTTTAACACTAAATTCAAATTCATATCCACATCACTAAATTCCAGAATTCTATAATTTCTATCAATTCCAATTTCCTTTAGTTAATACTTAAGTGTTGTATTTTTTAACACTAAATTCAAACCCATATCCACAACACTAAATTCCAGAATTCCATCCATCCATGATGGCACATATGGTGAATTGTGAAGAGATTAATCTCCAAGCAAAATAAATATTTCTCAGTATGAGCGGCAATGGATGATGAATTGTGAAGAGCCTGCTACAACGGGCCGAATCTCCATGCAAACTAAATATTTCTCAAGATGAGCGGCAATTGATGAGTGGCGGCACTAATATCACGTCGGATAGTCAGCACTAAGATCATGTGGAATATGACAAAGGAATGTTGAACTCTATCCTTCAATATCTGAGTAGCATAGGATAGACAACACTATGATAATGTAGGATATGACTATGATCATGTGGATATGGCTACGATCATGTGAGATAGTCAAGATATGGCGAGTTTGGATGGATGCTGTAGCATTTCTGGACTTATCTGCATAGACTTTTGTCAAAAACAATGAAAAAATAAATAAAACATTATTAAAACAATATGTGAAACTTATTTCCAAAAACGAATCAAATATCTAAATAAAATCCCACCATATTATAAATTTCCCAAATTTCCTAAATTCATAAAATTCTACAATAGGTTTTAGCTTTTGTAAGCACATTCTTTATAGAGGGTTTTTGGTTTACATTTTTTTTTTTTTCTCGTTCCATACACTGGCATGCATATAAATTTATTATAAAAATACTACACAAATAATTCAATTAAAAAAGCAACCAATTTGAAATTGACATAAAAAATTACAAATTTTTTTTTTTTTGAGTGAGATAACTTGGTACTCTAAAAACATTCAGTTAAGAATCAAATCTTCTTGTTTACTTTTTAATGATTGTTAATTTGGATAGTACCTTAGTTTCTTAATTATATATCCATTAATTTCTACTTTTGTAGAGTATAATAATATGTAATCTATTTTTGAAATATGACAAACGCATCACAAAAACACTACTTAACAAAGTGCAAATACAACTACACTAAACAAACCAGTACATTATCATAAAAGATAAAATACAATAAATACACTAAACAAACTTAATCACATATAAACTATAATATGATAATATTTTTACCTTATATTGTTTTAGTCTCCTCCAATGGCCCAAGTTAAAAATGGTGAGCAAAATTTCCAATTCTTAAATCCATTAAAACCCTCCCGGAAAAGATGGTTACATAAGTAAGG